CGTGGCCATGGCCTGCTCGGCCATCAACCTCTTGTCATCCGCCGATGCTCCTGTTGTTGTTTTGGGGGATTTCAATCTTCCGCAAATCAATTGGTCTAGGCTCCCTCTGCACGTGTCGGACTCGCCCGAGAGCCTGCTCTCTAACTGTTGTTTCAACAACAATCTACAGCAGCTCATCAATCACCCGACGCATAGAGATGGAGGCATCCTTGATCTGCTGCTTACTAATGTTCCCGATGCCCTCGACCGCATCTCGCTTGTCTCCCCGCCTATTCCCTCAGATCATCTTGCCATCCGCTTCGACATTCTGGACCTCTCCCCACCTCCTCCGCCTATATCCTCACGGCCAGATTTTCGTCGCATGGACGCGATGGCGATTGCCGGGTATCTGGATCTAATTGACTGGAAGGCATTTTTCGCTGACTGCCTCTCCGTAGAGCAGATGTATATCAAATTCATCGATGTTTGCTCATCCCTCATCTCCGAATTTGTTCCCCCCTTTGATATCTCTTCAAACGCGACTTCGGTTCATGCCTTTATCTCTCGCCTCCTTGCTCGCTCCGGTCCCAATGACCCATCCTTCAGCAATCGACTGATCAAGGCCTCAAGAAGACTCCGTATCCTCACCGAGTCTAAACTCGATTTCAGAGACGCTCGGTCTTTCTACCAGTATGTCAACAATCGTTTGCGTCCTCGCGGCCACATACCCTCACTCAAAGTCGACTCTCTCCGGATTACTGATCCAAGTGATAAATCGCGAGTCCTTGGGGAACATTTCGCTTCCGTCTTTATCCACGGGAGACGTCCCAGTCCAGTTCCTAGGTCGGCAGCCCGCCAAAGCTTGTTCCCTGATTCGTTTCTTGCCTTCGATGAGTCTCAAGTCTACTCTCTCCTCTGCGAGCTGAAGCCCACTGCTATCATCACCCCCGACGGCATCCCTGCGATTTTTCTGCGACGCTTTGCCATTTTTCTGGTCGGAACCACTCGCCCTAATTTTTGAGCGATCGTATAATGACTCGGTTGTTCCCGACTTTTTTCGTCAATCCGTCGTCACTCCGATTTTCAAGAAGGGTAGGCGGGATAACGCTCGGAATTATCGCCCGATTGCTCAGGGCTCTGTTCCATGTAAGATTTTGTAGAAGATCATTGTCTCTACATCTCTATTCTTTCCTTGTAGAAAAATTCCCTCCTTGACGATAAACAGTATGGTTTCGTCAAAAACCGGTCCACTTGCTCACAACTTCTTGTTATGACTCAAAAATGGGCTTCCATCCTCAATCAGCGACGACACCTGCACTGTATATACTTTGATCAGCGTAGCGCTTTTGATCGGATGGACCATGCTCGTCTCCTCGTTAAGTTGCGTACCATCGGCATTCACCACTCCACCGTCGCATGGATTGAGTCCTTTCTTAGAGATCGTTCTTTTCGAGTAATGGTGGACGGTGTCCGCAGTGATCCTTTCCCTGCCTCAAGTGGGTCCCCGCAGGGGAGCTCGCTCTCCCCGTTGCTCTTCGCCATTTACCTGCTCGACATAGGCGACTATCTACCTCCGGATATCGACTACCTGCTCTATGCCGATGACCTTAAGCTGTGGTCATCGGTTTCGCGGGCTGACGATTGCGTTCGTCTCCAGGAAGCCATCCACGGCGTCTTACGCTGGTGCTCCGATAATTGTATGTCGCTGTCCCATGAGAAGACAGTGGTTCTCAGATCCGGCTTCGACTGGGATTACTCGCTTGACGGTGCTGTTCTCTCCTGCTCCCCCTCCACGAGAGATCTTGGGGTTTGGATTCGCCCGGATCTTGATTTCGGCGAACATGTATGTCAGTTGGTACGCTCCTCTCAAGCGCTTGTCAACTCGATCTTTCGCTGCCTTGTCGTCAGACAACCAGATTTATATGTTCGCCTATTCAATTCGCTGGTACTTTCGCGGTTCCTGTATTGTGCCCCGGTATGGAAGCCCTCCCTCGTTCATCTTCGTAAATTAATCGATGGGGTCCAGAACTATTTCCGAAGGCGGTTATCTCTTCGCTGCTCGTATCACGACTGGAACCCCCCCCCATGTCTGAGGTTCTCGATAAGTATGATCTCCGCGTCCTCCGACAGCTCTATGTAGCCGATTTGCTGGATCTGTTCTTTGACATCAGGCTCAATACGCGTAGAAGTGGTTGTACTGTCATGCCTAAATTCGTCTCCAGAACTGAACGTGTAAACAACCTCTTCGCATGGAGGATATCCAAGTTAGCACATTCCCAGGGCCCCCCGAATATCTTGTTATTACACGCCATTAGGAACCAGGGGCTGTGATATTTTCTATTTGTTTTCGGATACTGCATGTACCCTCCCCCTTTACAATAAAGGAGCTATTCAATTCAATTCAATTCAGAGTTCAAGAGTGTCCTAGCGCAGCCTCGAAGGGGTCGCCCTCGCTCTATTACCTAGAGCTTCTTCTTTCTTGCAGGGTTGAATCTTTAATGTACAAGACCGCTCATACTCAGCGCCGTCATTCTTCCGAACACCGAATTCCGTCGAGGCAGGCGGAACTCAACGCCTCACAACAAGGACAAATCTCCCTTTTCCCTTACATCCCAATACGAAGTGACGTGGAGTATATTAGGATCATTCAGTGATATATGTACGCTCTCCATGCTCTCGCTTCATTCCGAACCGAAGCGATGGAATTACTAATCAAGAAAAGACACGCCTCTGATACTGATCCGATCCTTCTTTCAGTTTTCGACTCCTGACGTCTCGTCCGACGCCCCGATTCTCCCGGACGGCCGCATTGCGAGAAGGAAGTGACAAGGTGACCTCGGAGAAGCTCGTGGCCCAGGGTCTATTGGTCCCGAACATCGACTCAGTGGCCTGACTCTACGGGCCCCGAGCAACGATAGGAATTAGGTGTAATGGGAATTTCCCGCAGAAGAACGCTTTCGTTCAGCTGAATTTGGGCCATTTGAATGTCACGCGGAGAAAGTCACTCCACACAACGAGTGTGAGAATAAATTGAGCGTGTCTCCGATACGATCACCATGAGGACGTTGGGTAGAGTCGCTGTTTCCTGCGTGAACCTCACGCGTGACCAATACGATCCTTCTCAGGCGCATAAGAGATAATGCTTGCTCAGCTTAGTAAGGAATTCCCGAACGCCGCTCTAGATCCGAATGATGGAAGGGGTCGTGAAATACTGCGTCATCGCTTACTCGTCAATCGGAAGGGAAGACCATTCGAGATTAGCAGAGAGAGGTTGCAGAGTTAGACAGCCAGGCTTAGCTCTTAGATTCCTCATCAGAGGTTAAATCGAGGTGGCTTCGGTCACCGGCGTACGCAGGATTTTCCTTGGTGAGGGGGGGGGGGCTAGTTCAGGTCTCCGCATGGGGCTAAAAACCAATGTGGCGATTCGCTCCTATACGCAGCATAACGAAGGGACTTTCTGGTAGGGGGCTGTAGCCCCTTCAGGCCCTCCTCCTCCGCGTACGCCTCTGGCTTCTGTATTGAGTGAACGACGCATTATTCATCCACGCCAGGCACCCATGCGATAGATTTTCCCACAACGCGCCTAATTTCTATCTGTGATACTGCATGCTTCTGTGACCACGGTGTTCCGTCTCTCGAAAACATGTTTGAGGCTTCAGAGGAATACCATGGATACCTCACCTTCTCTAGTCCGTAGTCTCGCGGTTGCTACGGCCGCCCTGGCTGAAAACTTCGTTCTTCGGTCGCCGTAAATTTTCATCGATCCCCTGGATCTTCGTTAAGCCGATAATACCCCAGAGACTAGCAGACGATTTCAGGGACTTCGAATAAGCTATAGTACCGAGTCTCTCTATCGGTCGGTCCTACCGGTTCTATTAGGCTGAGAATCCTTAATGAGCTGTGAGGTCACAGGTAGCTTGCAGCCTTCCCTCTAATTTTTTGCTTACCAAGGATATGTTTCACGACTACGATACCCGTCGCATTTGACTTGGAACCAGGTCCTCCATTCGATAATGACCTAGACCGCGATCCAACGTCGAGATGTTGAAGAACGCATTGGACCGCGGAGTCGAGCCAAGTCGAGCGGCCTCGATGGAGAAATTGTGAGTCCTCGAGCTGCTTCATACTCCATGCTGTGACGTTGGAGCTTGTCATCATTCCGATCGCGAACAATTAGCTAAGTCTCCAATCGCTGGCTGGACAGAGGAACTAAGCCCCCCGTCGTGATGTCGGACCGCTTCTGTCTGCGTCCCCATCGTCCAAGCGGAAGCGCTCGACATATTCCTCCACTTGGGCAGAGCTAGCGCGCAGTACTTATCACTTCGAGGCCTCCGTCAACTAGAAGGCTATGGAGAATCGAAGAAGAACGAAGGACACGAGGCTGGAGAAGTGGGGGTGAGGTGCCACAAGCGTAAGCGCTAAGCAGCGGAGAAGCGGAGATGAGGTCTCCTCAGGTTTCGTGAAATATTGATGGTCCGCTCAAAGAGCGTGACCCCTGGGAGCGGTGCCCCTCCTTCTATAGAGGTCAATGTGATGCCTTGACATTCGGATCCCCCTTGCAGCCCCTGCATTCTCCGATATGCCCATGTTTCAGGATCGATCCGTCATGTTCACCAAGGCCCGGCCCGCATAAGTTCCCGTGTCTCGATTTTCTTCATCCACGCTCATATCTCAGTCCCTAGCATCTTCATGGAAATGCGGTATAACACTGGGCAGGCGGTGGTTGGCCTGGAGGTCTCTAGGTTTCTCTTGATTGAATTCGGCTCCCCGATCATCACGAGTCCACCTCCATTCCAATCCTCCGCGACTGACCGAAAATCTGCCATATGAGATCAAGACGGAAGCTGCCTTAGTTAAGCTAGGTTCACGGAATCCATGTTCTTAAGACAGAGGTCAATCTGAGCTAGAGTCTTGTTGAGTCGTATGCCGCGGTTGTCGAGACTTTCGTAATTCGAAATCCGACTGCGTTGCGTGTGATGACCACTGTCGCGTGCCGGATAGACTCGTAGACATGAGCTTGTCGAGCGGGGGCTCCAATTGCGGATCTGATTGCGACAATAAGCTTCTCAGAAGAACAGGCGAAACCTGAACGAGATATCTCCTCTCGCAGGACAGATCAGATCGATGAAGGTCTTTCCCAAATGCGACTGGCGAATGTTCCTGCGGGATAATAATGCACAAGGACCATTTATCTGTCAGGGAAGCTAGTTCCCCTTCTGGCTGGTATGATCGACCTTTCTTGACATGGAGAAAACGGCAGGGGGAATTCGGTTTCCGAGGGCCGAATTCTTCTCGCGCGGACGGCGTTGTCTCGCCACTGTAACGATCGAAGCTCTTCGCCGCTGCCATGTCGCCTCCGGCTCACGCGGACGACTTTGTACGCTCTGTACTTACCTGCAAGGAGAGAGGCTCCCCTCGGTTTCTTGCCCCGAGATGTCACGTCCGAGTCAGTTGAGCGTAGCTCATTTCTTTGAAGTGTTCGCCGAGCATTGTCTCATCTCAGACGGGGATGCTTCCTCATTTGATTGTGACGCTGTGTCTCATGGGATCGTCGACTGCTGCAGCGAATCGCCGCAGAGAAGGTAATTCTTGCGTTCGGTGCAGTCCAGATAAAATCTTGTGCGTTCGAAGCCTTCTCGCTCTGTGAGCCGAGGGGAGCCGGAGCCTGGCTTATGAGTCGAGCTAATCTCCGTTTAAATTACGTCTACCCAAATTTCTTACCAAAATTCGACGATTCCTGTAGTACTGCGTCTCAAGGCGATTCATGTAGCCCGTCGGGAGCTTCTGACGTCCCCGACCCTCTCCGAGTCCGATGGACAGAGGATCCCGGAGGATTCAGAGACCTCGTACAATGGACTAGGCGTATTGAGGAGGGTTTGGCAGCTCCGTTCTCACATCCTCGCTAGACTCTCCCGGAACTAATTGATGATTAACTCCTCCAGGGTTGAGCCCGGAAATATTCTTCCAGAGTGTATCGCTGGATTTTCCCAAATTGAAATTCGCGGACTCCGAGTGCAATTCGACGAAAGGGCGTAAAGGGACCTGCATCGGCTATCCCGACTGTGAGGGCGATAACGCTGTCAGAGAAGGGGTCTGCTCCGACGGATTCGGGACTTGTTGCGTCTGTAAGGAACAGATTTTCTCAATCGGAGTCCCCTGTCATGCCCCTGTGCTAAGGATGCAGAGAAGCATGATGCGGGAGAGGAGGGAATACATGCGTCGGAGCTCCTCTCTTTGCAGACTTAGTGGGGACCGATCTTCGGAAAGAAACTCGACCGACAGTGAACGAATGGGGTTCGTTCTATTCGAATGCGGATTTCCCGTTGCCAACGCTGGAGGCCGAATCTTCGGTGCGGATCCATATCGAACGCGATGTTTGTCAGATTCGACTCGACTTTGAAAGTCTCGACTTGCCTGAGCGCACCGTCTTCAGGACCATTGTGAATGGCGATCTTGTGCCGCCCATTCTTTCTGGAAACAACACCGGGCAGCACCGTGAGGAGCTCAGATAAGAATACTGACCACCCCTAACCAAGTTGTGATTGATTGGATTTATTCGCCCCACGCTGGTTGTGAGTTTTCGGAATGCGTTCCAGTCATGATAAATGTCGGCGATGGGTCCTCACAAGGGGCATGGGTCTCACTGGGCGTTTCCGGCCCAATGGGTCTCAAAACGTGGAACATACACATCACGAATGTCCCATGTCATTCATCAACGACAGGTGGGTAATGAAGTAGTGATATGACGACTCAATTCCTCCGTCGATTGGCTCGGAGCACTTTCCGTGATTCGATATTGTTCTCCCTTGCCTAGCCCCAGTCGGCTGCGCGCAATATTTTCTAGCTCCGAGCGGCCGGCTTCGGTCTCTCAGTGTGCAGTCGGTCGGAATCACATCGTACGCGATTTGCCTCCGGCCGAGGAACCTGGAACGCAATCTTCTATCTCTGAGATCCTTCGCATCTGGCGCCGCCTGCGGCAGTTCCATGGTCGTTCCTGCGGGAATTTCCTTGGATGGTCGGGAGTTGCCGGCGATGATTTGTCCCAAAGATGACATAAAATTAACTTGTAAGTACCTGATTTGTGTCGACGCAGACTCAGTTTTTTTTCGTCGGCCGAGACAGTCGTCCCAGCGCGACTATGCAGCTTCGGGACCGCTCGATCAGAGATTCTCCCTCTGCAGATAAGGTCTTCGGTCCCCTGGTTCTCTACATGAAAACCGCTCCAGGTCAGAGAGGAGTTGAAGTTCAGTACGATCTGTGAGCTGGTGTCGAGTCTTCACCCAACCGCATAGCCGGAACTTGGCTCACACAGGCATCACATTCAATATCGATTTTGGAGAAGAGGAAGAATAAATTCTGTACGCGGTCGGAACTGTACTGCTCTTCGACGAGACTCGCACTATGCATGCACGTACTCCTCTGATGATGTTGAGCTTCGCATGCTGTTGCAGCTCACGAGAAGTGTCGATTTTGGAGTCTCGCCTAGAATTATGATCGATCGTTTTTTCCGCTACCCAGTGCTGCATCATCGCGAGCGGTCGAGCCCTATCGGACGCAGAGCTTTCGGAGAATGAATTCTTGAGTTTTGGGCAGTATCATCCTATCATCAGAGTGAGAATTACCTTTTTCCGCACACGGTGTCTTCCGATCTCTCGCGAAGCAGCTCGAGGTTGTGCTCATCGACTGCTCGCGACACCGTCTTGAAGGATGAGCTATATTCTCTTATTCTCGAATCCGACCACTCCCTCGAATCGCATCACTCCGACGACGTCCAGCGTAGCGCCGCGGGGTCCGCTCGGAGCGCAGAGAACAGCCGCCGAGCCTGAACTCCGAATTCTCGGCGAGGGTGTGGTCCATACTTCCGCGGTCTCTAAGTAAGAAACGATGCAGCGCTCAGACCGCGATTCGATTATCTACGGCCTGGCAGTCAACACGGCTTTCTGATTCGATAGTACTGATGCCTACGGATACACGGTCCGACCATTGATGGGCATCTCATGAAAAGTCTCGTGCTTATAATTTATTGATTATGATTATATTAATTATTAGATTACAATCTTGATCTCTCGTACCACGGGGATCGAGAGGCGGGCAGAGCCTCGGGAGTCGGCTGCTCGGGAAGGTGCGGGAGCAACGCGCGGGGAGGTGAGCTGGAGGGGGCCGCCTCTTTGAAGGTGTCGTCGTCGTCCTAGTGGACGTGGTCGTTGGTCTTCTGCCGAAGACGGAACCTTCTTCCTTTCCGGACGCTGCTTATGATTCCCGGGGAGCTTCGGCCGGCTGGGGCATCATGGCTTGAGTTTGGCTGATCAGATCCGTTGCTTGAACGACTGATGGGAGCGCAAATGGAGCTTTGGGGAAATCATTGTATCGCGCTCGGCCGACCTTCGCTCCCGCTATGGCACCGGAGACAGCGCCCATCTTCATCGCAGCGAGTTTGAACGGGAACTCCACAAGGGCTAGTTTTGCTTCTCCAACACTCTTGAGGAGGCTCTTCGTTAAATCGATTTTCGCTCGGACCAGAGCGTACTTGGCGGCACCGAATCCCGCGATGACAGGCTTTTTCTTGATGATACCAAGCTTTGCCAGTTTGAGGATCGCAATCGCGGGCAGAGCAACAGGCATTCCGAGAACCTTCGCGGATGCAGCGGTTGCGGCTACGCTTGCCAGGCCGGCACCTACCGCAGCACTCCCGCCGAGCAATGGTGGTATCATTACGGCATCCGCGCACAGACTCCAGCCCAAAAGCACCAACGGGAACAGATGAATAACACGCATCTAAAAGTAAAACGTGGAATGAAATCGCCGTATTGCATTGGACGACGGAGGATATGCAGATCGAATATAAGCAAGATCCTTTGGACAGGTTCTTGAATGTCAAGGAGATACTCACATTTCCGTCCAGGGAGACTCTTGCAACAGGATGAGAAGACGATGTCACGAAGAGCGGGATTTATGGCGATTCAGTTCCGCGTCCCTGTTTTATAGCGTCGCGACATCGGGAGCACTGTTCTCGGATCCGCGTCAATCATTTGCGGAGCGTGAATTTTAGAGGGCAGTAACGTGCGCGACGCCGACCGAGGGTGCACCTAATGTTCGAGTGATTTCTAGAGGAAATCCTGATCCCCGGTCTGACTGAGGGGATCACCTGAAGAGTCCCTGCCGTCGCCGATAGCTCATCAGATGCGAGGAGTACCCGATCCTCATTATTATTCCTATGTGTGTGATCTTCGATGGACACGAAGCCGACGATTAAAAATATCTTTTCACTTTGCTTCACCCGATCCGGCTTGTCGGCGGGCTCATTGATCTCAATTTGATGGGCTCCAAGCCGTGCTCTCCGTCAGCTGTAAGGTCTCCGGGTGGCTTTCCCCTCAAGATCGCAATCGAAGTCGAGAGATCAAATCTTTGAGTCTCGCTGGAGAGCCGATTTCCGCTGATTTCACCCCTGATCTCCAGGACTTCATTCTCGCGGAGTCGCGGTGGGCGTCGTCGGTCCTCGATCGATCGAGGTGGGGGACGGCTACTGGCTTGAGACCACCTTCGAGAACTCGAATCCGACTCCGAACGTACGCCATGCCATTTGAAGTTTCACGTCGATGAGGAACAATCTCCGACTCGGTGCGACCGAACTTCCCATCCGAAGACTACCCAAAAGCTATCACTGATCCCCGTCGGGGGCTGCCTCCCACCCGATCACTCGATCTGACTAGACTCTCGTCTCATATTTGGAAAGGGATCCAGAATATCTCGGCCTGACAAACACGATTCGTTCCCCGACGCTCGAGCGTGAGTGTCACTTCTCCCCTCCCTGTGAAAAAAAAACGATTTTGAGAGCCGAAGTTGATAACATCAGCTTCACCCTCGCTGGCCGCTTCTCGAGGCACTCACTGTTTTCTATCGCCAGACCCGGGTAGATCCGAGCGAGTCCGACTGTTCGCAACTCGTGGGTGGCGGATTTTCACCACTCGCAATCGTGCCTAAAGCGAGTCCCAGATCCGCTGAGATGTCACATCCGTGTGTGGAAGACGACTGCGATTGCACCTGAGAGATCTCGCGAGACGGATCCTAGAACCTCCCGCGCGGTCCAAGACGCTCCAAGGGATGGACTAGAGCTGCTACAGAAACCCAAGGATCGCGGAATCCACGGAAATCGCGATTCCCGGGCGGGAGGCCTGCGCCAGAGCCATGGGTAAACTTTGAGCGCATTCGAAGGGTTTTCATCGCTTCACGTTAAGGTTTTCGAGACGTATCTGGTAGGGATTAGCGGATCCCGAATCCTCGGGGGTCCGCAGGGGTTACGTTGAGCCCCACGGCATCATCCGCTGAGCTATTCACCGATGCGTAATCTTCCAACGCAGTAAAACCATCGATTTCCACCCGATCGGGTTCGAAGGATGCATTGGAACTCAAGGATAGAGTTCAGTCCGGGAAGAATCCTAAATTTCAGGCAGACCGATAGAAGGCTCTCGGAACCCAAGGGCTCCACGGAATCCAGATTGGGGAATAAGTTATCTGATGAATAGTGGATTCGAGTGCCGTTCGCGGCCCGCGACACGCTCATTCAACTCTCACCTTAGAGCACGCTGGCATCGTCATTCTAGGGTGCTGCGAGATTACGTCACTGATCTCCCACGACCCCTCCCCAGAAGCTCAGACACTCATCTCGGTCCTCCGCTTGCATAGTCCACGGGCTACGGCGACAATCCGTCCTTTCAAATCGCGAAATATTCATAGCCAGAGTAGCCAGAACCCAACTCAACCCGAATATCTCAGTCCAATATTCGGGAGACAATAAATCGCCACGCAGGCCCTTGAATGTAGCACCGATTCCGCTCATGCAACTGATTACCATTTGGTCTGCCACTACATATTCCTTTGCTCGTTCCTATGCTGATTCACATTCCGATTCGCCCAAATCTGCTTAGTCTCTCCCGTCTGCCCCATTCGCGCTGCGTTCATCCGTCTCCCCACCCTCCAGTGTCCCCTTCCTGCCGTCGCTCCTGTTTCGTCGCAATTCTGACGCGAGCCTGCAGAATTATTTCCCCCAATCAGAACGATCCATTGTGCCGTGCATCGCTCTGCAACTCTACGGGGCCCGCAGAGTTCTCGGCTAGTGCTCGAGTTTGGCTCCGAGTTTAGAATACAGCTGAATCAGGATCAACTCCGAGAGAGGAGCTCGCAATGCAAGCTCGTTCTGAGGAGCACCTCTTCCCGTGAGGATCGAGCCAATATCGAGCATTTCCGCATCTAGAGCCAATTGGCGGTTTCAGTGTCCGCGCAGAGTCTGGCGATCTTGTCGTTGATGGGACCGAGGCCTGCTTTCGAGAATAGAACGCTCATCGGGGACGAATTGATGGCGCGATCACGGATCTGAGCGCACCGCGGTCGATGATCGAGTTTTCCCTGTTATGCCGGGCCAAGAGTTTGATTGAACCGGCCCGAGTACCGCCCGTTGTGCGGATGTCTTTCGAGCAGAGCTTGCCTGTTTGCACGTAGCGATCCGCTGTTGCTTCGAAATGTCTCCATTTGGGATCATTTTCTATAAATGGCATATTCAATGAACTAGTGTTCCCGGATCGGCCTATACCCTCGAGCTGAATCGTAGCAGCATTCACAATCACCTCTGTCGATTCTCGGACGACCTGCACCGCAACTCCGGCGCCTCTTCTCCACTTTCTTTCTCTATAGGCAATCAAGTTCAGATATCACGCAACAGTCCGGCTTGAAGGCGATCGGGGAGATTCGCGGAAAGATCCAGACCTGGTACACCAGCATTATGTGATTTTTAATTATTGAGGACGCTTCATAAACTTTGCAGGTCCCGTGGGTGCGCGGTAAGATCCATTTAGAGCTCAATATCGTGGTTTCTCTCATGATGAGGTTATGATCGGAGAGGAATACCTAAGTGCGATTCGGGAACTAAGCTCGGAAAGGCTCAAGGGAGCTCATTTTCTTGGCTACCTCCGGCGCACATTCTTTCCAGAGTCAGGGGAATCGGTGCGTCCTCACGCTTTCGAGCGACTTGCTGGTGACAGAGCTCTCATGATCGCTCCGTCTTCGTGGAAACTCAGTACGGTTGAATCTCCAACGACCTGATCTCCTCGAAGGATGAGTAATTCAACGAAGTCTGGCCACTGGGATCCGTCACGCCTCGAACTCACCAGAGAAAAGTCACCGATCCCGTCACAGCTCTATGCAGAGCGACTGCATTCGATTACAATCTTGTCCTAGGGAAGGTAACTAATATGGGAACGTCTGAGAATATCCATCTCCCTTCGATCGAGTCTGGGCTAGGAGAGACTCTCGATTGCTGCTCGTAGACTGAAGAAGGGGTGAAGGACCGACGGACATCGTCGCGAGTAAACACTTATTGTTTCTGTCGATTTCTATTAGTTTTATCAGCCGAGTCAAGTATGCATGTGAACTTATCCCTACTCAGGAATCCTCCCAGCGTTCTTTATGTGGGTGAATGAATGAATGAAAACTCCTTTATTTCGAGGGTAGTGATAGCCCAGGTGTCTAGACAACCTCCAGGCATAAAAGTTATTCACAATATCCGTACGGGCTCGTACTTTGGGATACAATGTGCGCTTGAAACGCCGGTGATTTTCGGAAATGGAGAAAAAGTCATCCGATTTGCCCATACTCTCCAATCTGCGGAGGGTACGGATATAAATGAGACGGTGGAGAGATTCTATAGTCGGAACGCGGTCTGGGCCGAGCTCGAGGTTACATCTGTAGGACAATCGTTTGAGAAACCGTTTCTGGACTCGTTCCAGTAAGTTTTTCTCGCAAACGAGGTGTGGAGACCAGATCTGTGAGCAGTACAACATCTTTGAGACAACAAAACTACGATAGAGCTCAAGATAGAAATCCGCTCTTTTGGGTCCGAGTCATTCGGAGGCTCCTCAGCAAAGTCGATCACGTAAGGGACAGGAGTTTCTTCTCTCAGAGCCGGGAGTTGGATTCCGGGGGACTCGTCTTCGATCAGCAAACTCTCGACATTGATGGCTGAAAACCATTCATGTTTTCTCACCCCTTCGAAGCCCCCCAGGCCGTGACCTAGTCTCTGTTCGGGATCTTTATTGAGTAGTTTAGTCAGCATATCTTTCGCTGCGTCACTGGAGTCATCCAAGACCTCGGGCTGGTTTCCAATGGTCATTTTCATGAAATCGTCTTCTTTTGTGCCGATGGGGTGAGAGGAACCAAACCCCTGGCTGTCATTAATTCAAACAACGTTATTCCGAACGACCACAACGGCCCATCACAATTCGGCAGAGTAGTAGTTTGACTTTCTCCCCCGGGTGAGGAATCTCCTCGATCCGGTAGAGATCACCGTATGGCGCATAATCCATGATGAGGCGAAAAAAATCGCGGGTCTCCCAAGTCCAGAGAAGCTCCACGACGAAAATACTTTTGCTGAGCGCGAAGAGGATTTTTTCTCCTGGATGATCTCTACGTGATCTTCTCTTTTCTCCTGCCATATACTTCCTCGCCATTCATACTGCCTTTGAACACCACAACCGAAATGACCGCTCGCGACCACTTTCGAGACTGTGATCTTCTTGATGTCCTCCTTCCCGCACTCATTCTTCGAGTATCGATCTGTGAAAGCCGCTTTTGCCGATTCGAGAGCTCTTTTATGAGATTCAATGATTTTGGCCCTCGCCCCACGCTTGACGATTACAATCGTTTCCTTTCCAATCAACATTTCGAACGACCTAGCTATTTGTGTAATGTGTGTGATACGAGGAAAGCCCTTGACTGATCGAAAATTATTGCGACGTGCGATCATTGTCTGCATGGGGACTACTACAAGCGCGATTTTCGTCTCCGATGAACCCATCCATGCCTACATCCTCGCTCTTTCTCATGTTAAACCGGTCGAGGTAAGAGGTACTCGGATTCCGAAAGATCCTATCGGAGTCTTCGTGGGGGGGGGGTCCGTCGCTCCGGTACCTGTTCGCTGCATCACTCGACCAGCGGCGTTCAGCTACGACCTTTGCGGCCGGAAGAGGAACTCAATACTCGCCTCGGAAGGGCACGGTAGGTGCCTAGTCGATTGGGCATGACTTCTCTCGGTTTGAATTATTCCGTGTAGACTCACTCAGAATAAAAAATGAGTTTCGGAGCGGAAGTCATCATTCACCACTAGCTTTGCCCTCTGCGGCCGTTTCGCGAAGCATTCAACACTCCGACTCAGGTACGTCTGGGGGTCTGACCGCTGACCGCTCATAGACGTCGACTGTTCACTTCCAGAAACTGCGCTTGGAGCGGGTCCCAGATCCGCGAAAATGTCTCTAACGTGCGGAAGACGACTGCGATCGCCTCTTGAGATTTCTCTTGCTAGGGCCGAACCGAGGTTGGGTTGCCGAAGATCATGAGACGCATCGCAGAAGATGGAAGGAGCAATGGCCGGTAGAATCTGAAGGGGAAGCCAAATGTGCAATGCACAACGACGAGTTTCCCATAAACGAGGACTGTATAGATTGACGAAGCGAGTGGCGCCGTGGGACAGCATCTTCGAAAGCGTCGCTGGTCACAGAAACCCTTACCTGCGACTGCCGCTGCTCCCTCGGTCGGAGTCTCTCCCCCTCCACGGCGGCCACGGTGAGCGTCTGCTGGTCTACAAGCTGCTGTTGTAGTTCTGTCTGACGTCACGATACCACAACAGAGGATTCAGGATGTCCGCACTGCACACAAGTGATCGTGGAGTTCAGTAATGAAGAACATCGCTGCCGATCAGTCATGGAGCAGTCGGCCAACTACAACCAAGACTTTCTATTCAAGGTGAGCTCAACGGAAAACATATGTCCCATAGTTACGTATGCGAAATTACAACGGAACTGAGACGGGACTACAGCGGGACCAGCAGCGACAACAACGACGACGGGGGTTCGAGCACGAACGATTTCTGACTTTTCTTCCGCCGGATCTTTCTAGGTCCTCGTTGTGGGTGACTTCGGAGTTGGCAAGACAGCGATCGTCCGCCGGTACACCGAGGGAGAATTTTCCCAGAACTACAAGATCACCATCGGAGTGGATTTTCTCATCAAGCGACTTCGATGGCATCCCAACAAACAGATAACGCTCCAAATGTGGGATATCGCCGGTCACGAGAGATTCGGATCTCTGACCCGGGTCTACTACAAGTACGCGACCGCTGCAGTTTTGGTCTACGATCTCAGCAGACCCACAACTCTGGAGTCGATCATCAAGTGGCGCGAGGATCTCCGTGAGAAAACAGACGATGCGAGATTGCCAACTTTGCTCCTGGCGAATAAATGCGACATCTCTCAGGATTGGCCCGATCTCGATAAATTCTGCAAACAGCACGGTATCGATGCGTGGTTCCCCACGTCAGCGAAGGAAAACGTGAACGTTGACGAGGCGATCAACTTCCTCGTCGAGCGAATTCTCGAAGGAGACTCCGTTCAGAGCCACAACGCACCCGATGATGGAGTCAATCTCGAAGACAAACCGACTTCAAGCCTTTGCAATTGCTGAGAAACGGTGAGCGAGCCTAATGTTTCTTAGATCTTCGACCATTGATGTCTCGCGTTCTTTCCGATGTGGTATTCACCGAACTGGTCGGAACTACTTCCAAATTCCCCGCCGGCGACCATGAGGAAAGTCATGGATCGAACCGGAAATGAATTGAAACAGGAAATACATTTTCCTCATCCTGGATACACATCTATATTTAATGTAGCTGGAATCAAGACTAGCGAGACGGCGCGGCCTCTTCTGCCGACAGAAAGAACCGAGCGAATATCTTCGCTTAGACAGCGCTGTATTTTGCCGCGGGATCTAATTATCGGCGGGGGACTCCCTTTTCGCGGAATTCCGAATTGCTTGGTGATGAGTCATATGATCCGGCGCGGAAAATAGAAAGACAGAGAGTTCTCGCGGTGAATTCCCATCATAGAATGACAAATGCCCGCCTTTTTGCAGGACCGACCCGTGTGATGAGTCATATTCAGTTACTCATCTCCCAGAAGAGTTTTCTTACACTGCTACCGGGGTCGTCCCGCCACGACCTACCTGTGGAGCTCTCGAACAGACCGATTCTTCGGAGGTCATGCTGAAACCTTGACGCCGGGAACCCCATCCAGAGCCTCCTCAGTTTTATAGAGAAGCTCACCGGCCCGAGGATATTGCTCCTTTCTCCAAAACCTCGGCTCCGTCATTCAGCTTCAGCTTCGGCAATCCCCAGATGCTGAGATAAGATCGGGCTTGTGATCGTTCGTGGTTGATTATCGCGCGAGAGAACTTTGCTCATGCTTGCATCCCCAACTGCAGGGTGGTCCGACTGTAGACTGTATGTATATCTAATGACTTTATTTATACCGGATACTTCAATGACGACGATTCCACCTTGCTGTTGCGATATGAGACGCTATTGCTTCTCTAGGCAGCTTATTCCGAAGAAGCGTGATGTTTCCCGAGTCTCTGTAAATAAACATGTGAACACATGAATAACTTAGAGGCCTTCGACTATTCATGGAGGAATTCCACCGGATTCCGAATCCCGGTCGATCCGCGCATTTGTCAAGTGTCATCGAGTCGGCTCTTCCATTGACTCCTTGCGCCGAACAAGCGGGAAAACCTCATGTGGACTCATCACAAGCGAATCAGTGTGTTTACAGCAGCTTACTTGACCGGCTATAACCAGAATCGATTCATAGGGTGGCCCGCTAAGGCTCTCTGTTCTTCCTGCAGCACACGAGGGATAACATGGATCTTAATCTGACTCTGCTGGGCCATATGACTGCTCGGAAGAAGGCGGAGGAGAGAGAACTCCAGAACAAGCCTGAAGAACTCAATAGACCTGACGGACAACTAGTTTGCTTCCGGAGAGGTTCTACAAGAGAGATCACGAGGAATATCTGGAGGTTTTCTCTTCACGGCCAGCCTATCCCGATTGAGAGGCTTTCAGCGCAAAAACGCACTTGAACACCGAGAGGGAATTCAGACTGGAAATATGATATGTTTGCAAGGAGGAACTTCGCGGGGCTGGACCGGGACAGGATGCAGCTCGCATCACAAAGTTCTATCCATTCATTCGTTTAAATGATGGAGACGGATGAATTTTTCACTTGGACCCAATGCGAGTATGCATAGTAGACATGAGGCTTCCACTGGGATATGGTCTTCTCAAGATAATGATGTCTGTCTTCCAATGATTGAGAGAGAATCATTCTATTCCCGTTCATCGGCGAGGGATTCACGACAATCCCAGGATCGGGATGGGACTCACGGCCAGGGACAGCTCAGGGAGCTCCGCATCGGAGGGACTCCCGGAGAGACGGGGAAGCTCCTCATAGCACGGAACAAAAATTGCTCTCATGGACCTGATTGTCACCGGCTGCGCTGGGACTGAAAGAGTACCGCTCCTGTAGATTCCAAAGTTCGTGTTTATCTCTCGCATCGAGAGCGAGATCGAGAGCGTCAAAGAAAGATGTGCTTGTTTCCTTACTGGGAACACGTTGACGCCGGCTTGCTCGCCTGCGCGCCCGCCCTTGAACACGTCGTCCGTACCGGCCGGAGAACACTTGTGTTTCGAATCGTGCTTCGACATTGCGGCCTCCGACGTTGCTTTCATTAAGCTTCCGCTGTCTCCCCTGCTCCGAGTTTTCTGAGATCGATAGATCTGGTGAGCGCCCATAGTGTCAGGAGGGTGATACAATCGTCGTGAACCGCTCGACCGACTAATTGACTTGTCTGTGCGAAACACGGCACTGGACGAGGGAAATGACAACGGACGCCAGTAAGCTGAAGAAGATCGCAGCCGATCTCCTGACTCTGCATAATGAATATGAGGCCAAGCTACAGGTGAGCGGGTCAGCGATAACCTGAATCGGATTGCCAATTATCGCGAAGGCCATCTACGCAAACGCGCCTCTACAGCAGACTAGTTTTCGCTACATTATCGAATCATCATGAGGGGAACGAACAAGGAAAGCATCATTATTAGGTCAGGCTCCTTTCGAATTGCATCTCTTGATGCAATTTCGCTTCGACCTAGAAAACCCTTGCATGGTCGATGGAGCACGCCAGAACGAAGTCGAAAACGCTCAGCGCGCTGATAGTGCGCTCAGGTGATACTCATAATTTTGCGGCAAGGATAGAAGCATCGCAAGGCTTGATTGTGAAGAGAGAATGAAGAAACCTCTAGTGAGCATTCCGTGGATACGAGAATCTGCAGCTCAACTCTCATGGGAGGAGTTCCGGAGTTCTAACCTGAGCGGTAATCCCTACAGCCGGCATTCATCGCGTCGCTCAATCAACAGAAAGCGGTTCAGAAGAGCGAAGATTTTTGCGAGAAACAAGTGAAACACTTCATGCACAACATACAGCCGCTCCGAGCCCGCTTAAACAGGTACGCTCGCAGCTAAGTTCTATCTTCAGAGAAGTCATGCGAATGGTTCAATATTCCACTCAGCAGCAGATGAGTGGACGGGGAAGGACGTGGATGCACAAACGGTGGATCTATACGGCCGTCTCGAGATCGAATAACAGCTACCATTGCTTAACCTTCGTAGCCTGAAGTCGAAAGAACTCGTTGGAGCGGATTCCGAGGCAATCAATGAAGTTCAAAACGGTCTTGAGGAGCTTTCAACAGCGATACTGCTCATAAAACGTAACCTGCCAGCCCCAGCAGGCAAATATCTCTATTTGGTGCTGGGCTCGGTCAGGGTCTCGATGCCGAGCAAAATGAAGCTCTTATACAAAATCGAATACGAAAAGTAGGTTGGGAGACATTCCGATGACGGGGACGCAGGAAGCGCACCCAAAATCCCCCCGGTATGAGATCAACGTTCATTTCGCATGGCTCAGGCTCCTTCCTCTCTCCTCCCGACCTTGGGAGATTTCATTCCAAGATATCATTCCAAAGCTTGATTCGAATTTTTCAGCTTCAAACTGGCCGTCACATGGGCTCTGCTTCTATTGTCTTTGGTCTGTCTCTTCCGCGGAGCGGGCACTCGATGGGATCCCGTCCTCATGTTCGGTCTTGTCTGGTTCTATTGTACCTTAACGATTCGAGAATCGATCCTGAAAGCAAATGGATCCAAGTAAGTTCTGAGGATTATGAAGTTCCCAGGGATATTTCAAAGGTCAAAGATGATGCGGTCTATTATCGAAGCGGTCCGAGGGCGGGAAATCTCACATGCAAAGGCGAAATCCTAATTTTCAGCATAAGCGGGTGGTGGAGAATTTATCACTTCCTAGCGACTGGTCTCTCGGGCGTTATAGTTCTTTGGTGAGTTCTCAGCAAGTGGAGCAATGCGAGTTTGCCGAATTGAGCGTTGGAGGCTAGTTGGCCCGAAATCTCCGTGGATTAGGAAGGACATGAAAAAAGCCGATCAGAGAGCTCCTCGGGGATGAGTAATCTCGGTCCGAGAGCGACCACATCCGTGAGCGGGAATTCGTATCCACACTCTATGGTTTCCAGGGCCGACAAACCCGGTTTCCAAAACCACCTCCGCACGTGTTTCCTAGCATATACATTCGTCGTTCTCGTAGCTCATCAGGTCCAATATCGCTACCAAGCAGGAACATTGTACAGACTTCAGGTACGTAATTAGACTTCTGAGCGCAAGATCAATGGACCCAATGCTCCCCGCGTTGCGCGCATCGGAGAACGCCGAGAATTCGTCCCAGATGCCCTTCGGATTCGGAATACCTTAGAAGAAATTCTCCCACTCCAGGCTCTCGGGAACACTGCGAATGAAGGAGGCAGTCCGATGGAGATTAGCGTCGAGGGGGTTCGATCGAGCGTCGCTCAACCGATGCTCCGTGACTTTTTCATCCTGATGCCGTTTCTCTATGCGGTTTATGTGAGTAGAGAAGACTTCATAGAATTCGATTCATCTGACTTCTGACTAACTCCGCATGTCCGTGTAGCTCCCTAGGGACTTCTATGTATACCGGAAACTCGGCGTATAGGCAACTACCTCCTGGGTGGCGCCTTTTTCTCCTCCCATCTCAGAATATTTTATGACCCTGCGGCTGAGCTCGTGGTGTGACCCAAAATAGCCCAGAATGACTGATTTCTCAAACTCAGTTCCGAAATAACTCGGTCATTCTCCCTTATCGTTCCGTGGAGCTTATGCGCCAGACTTCAATCATTCCAAATTCCTTGGTCTTCATTCGAATCACTGCCGGAGGCGCTCGGTGCGACAGCGAGACACTCTGTCGATCGTACCAAAACATGACGAAGTTCCTGATCACAGATTTTTCTGCTTCGACAGTTGATACAATTGTTGATGGTTTATCTCATCGTGGAACAAATCACAAGCGATCCGGATGCTGTAACGTGGCACGCTGGCACGGCTGCTGTATTCTTCGGTGTCATGTTCGTCGGAAACGTGTTTAATACTTCGATGGCCATTTACTCGAAATGTACTTCAAAGTTCCCAGACCCGCTGTACCTGGTGCGAAAGTTTCAGTGAACTAGATACGACAACGAGGCAGGAATACCCGAAAGCCAATGCTGGGCAGTTGCGGACCAGCCCCAGAGGGGTTCCGAGGTATCCCTATTTTCGATAATTAAAATGACTTCTTCTGACTGAGGCATATTCCATGTTAGGCTCCTCCTGCCAGGAATAAATTGTACGTTTCTGCGAGCAATGCCGTCGACTGATATGATCCGGTCTCAGAGATCTCACCTCAATAATTATTCGAGTTTCGCTCCCCATCCGGTGCCGCTGTTCCGATTCTTCGAAGGAGCGAACTCTGTCCGGACTGGATATTCTTGAGACCGACTCCAATTCCGGGATCAATATTTTTTCGAATTCCGAAGTTTGCCAGACATCTGGTGATGAGGATATGAGCAGGATGACGTGGCCGAGGGCACGAGTCCTCTTTGACGTTTAAGCACGGGAGGCGGCGAGCCCTCAACCATCATTCTACAGTGAAACCTGACCTATGGGACCGCCCGCGGTTCCGCGGGAATTCGGTCCGATAAGTCAGGTGGTCCTGTGGCTCTGGTTATGGATTTTTGAACCTTTAAAAGACGTGGAATCCGTATCTGACCGAATTCGGCGGTCAAGAATGATAAGAGACATCGTGAATCGGAGCACAAATTAATTTAACCATCGTCCATGGAGGGAACTCTTAAAACATTGCTGCGTCAACGTTGAGCTCTACAAAAGAATGAATTTAAGGTGCTTTGTCGCTTAGCTCGTAGCATCTCCTGTATAACGAAATCCTGGATCTGCTTCTCATAGTCAAGCAGCGCACCGCGCGCACCGCTAAATAGCGCGCTCGACGTGAGCGCGAACAACTTGAGGGTTTCGACGGCATCTAGCGCTTCGCTTGCAGATGGAGGCTCTCTGGGCGGGTTCTCCACGTACGCATCCTCTTCTTCATCGACCGTTATGTCCGCTGACTGAGGACAAGGCTCATCGGCAGAAGCGCTTCGGAAGCGCTCGACGTCTTCCATGAAACACGGATCCGCGACGCCTGTCCGTGCACACAAATGTAGAAGGTCATCAGAGAAAACATCCTCTGTCGGGTCGCGTTCGCCTCCGTCCGTACCAATGATACCACATTTTCGGAAACAGCATGCGATGGTCTGTTCTGGGACTTTATCCCAAGCGTGAATCACCCATCTTATAGCCTCGAGAACGTTGATCGTATTTGCGAGCTCTGACGCCGAACGGCAGTCGTCCATTTTCGACACCAACCATCGCAGCATCAAATCGCGGTACTGAACTTTGAATGCTTGGATCATGCTTTGGTCTAGAGGCTGCAACTCACCAGTCACGTTCGGGGGTTAGAACAACACATTCACGTTGCTCAAGGTGCGGTGACCATGACAGGGAGCGTTGTCTAGTATCAGGAGAAGATTTCTGTCCCGGCTTTTCATCTGCGAATTGAATTCACGCATCACGGTAGTCCCCACGCGACAATCGATGTTTTTATTCTGATTTCGATGATAAACTCGAGACGTTCGAAAAATTGCGGTCAGATTGTGCAGGTAATGGGAACCCTCGGTTCCGGGGGAGGTGGTCCTTGGTTCCGTTGCTCCGGTGGTCCCATTGCGCGTTAAGAATGGTATAGACTTCTATGGGAGGAGAATCGGTCCCAAAGAGAAGTGACCCGAAACCTCAGGTGGTCCCTTTGTGCGATGGTCCCTTGAGTCAGGTTTCACTGTATAAACAAACTCTCCCATTTCTCCGGAGCTTGCAAATCTTATCGAAATCCCTTCCCATACGCTGCGCCCGTCGAGACGATGACGTCAAGGGGAGTACTACGCTCAAATACTCGCAAGTTCTCAAAGAGGATCGCACTTCATTTACAGCTCCATCCACGAGCGCAGCTTCTGCTCCCGCAATCATGAGAGTCCTGCTAGTCGTGGCGATTGTTCTCATAACGATTACAGCATCCAACTGTGCGGCGATATCACCCTGTGACGGAAACGGTGATGAATGCGAAGACGGCACGCCAGACGGCAACGAGGAAGAGCCGCCGACTGATCAGCCGACTTGGCCGAAATGCGCCGATTTCGACTATGATGTCAAGTGTCATAGTCCCCTCGACGTCTGCGACTCTGTCTGTGACGATGATGGCCCTCGCTGTGTGAGACATTGTGGCGAATGCCTGTGTCTATCCGACTCGACTGAAAGCTTATCGGCCGAGATCACTGAGCTAGATACGCTAGCCTCGACCGCGGAAAGTGACTCGCAGCCTGACGTGACAGAGCAAGATCCTGAACTCGAGACCACCGACGGCAAGGAAAGCCAGCCATTGGACGGCGGTGACTGATTCCACACACTGTATTCTCTCGTCGTGCACGTTGCACCTCATCTAGCTGCGGCACCATAAGCGTTGGACGCAAGATGATCTTTGTATAATTCTGCCCCGCGACTGAATGATTCGGAAATAACGAAATATATGTCGGAGCCATGGTGCTTTCCGTGAGAAGATTCTCAAGCTTCAATATTCGAGCTCCGAATCCGACTCACTCAGTCAGTGGAATAGTGAGCGAGGTCTCTCCACGCGGAGGAGCAATACCTAGATCTTACCTCTGCGATACACTTTTGGTTCTGGGAGGGAGGCCTCCGAATTCTCCTGGATCAAGTACTACAGATAATAATCGCGCCTGCCCCACTCGTCCTCAGACGATGCGCGTGAACGTGAAACGAAGAAGACCGCTGCGCATCCTGATGCATGTCAGGTGCGGAACATCGGATCGATTCGATGTAGCTCAAAGAGCTTCTCCTATGCGTTCCATCAGAGCTCTACGGCATGCATGACTCAAGACTACAATGTCGAGATCGTGTCCCTGAAGCGGAAGCGTTCGCAGGGTGGGAGGTCTCAAGGGGTTCCATGGCCCCTTTCCAGATTGAGCGAGCGTAATATTAATTGTAAGGTGCACGAGCGAGTTGAAACGTTTGACATAAGCCCCATGCGTAGACCCGATCTAGCCCCCCTCTTAGGAAAATCCTGCAGAGGCCAGTGCTCTAAGGAGGGGGAGGGTGAAGGGACCCCTACATTTTCGGAGGAGGATACTTCGTTCTTGGGAACAAGATGTGCTCGGAACTAACGGCGGAATTTCGGAGGGAGTCAGAAGTCACTCCCCCAACTCCTCTAATCGGATCGATGCATGCTGGAAAATCGCCGACGAGAATAGTCAGAACCCGGAGCGTTTCGTACCCGCTTCGGAACGATGACTTCGCGAAACGAGATTTGAAGAATCTGTTCTTATTCAGGGTTATTCTGGATGAGGAAGACGCGCGGTCATCCCGGACCCGCGGAGCGATTTGCGCGCCATTCTGGCCGGGAAACTAGATCCACAATTTTACCCAATTATCAGGGCTCAGAGCATTAATGGTGAGAACAAGCCCTGCAGGTTCAGAATACAGGGGTGAAGGACAAGCTTTCTATAAGGGGAATCCAACTGTACTCGGCCAGCCTGCGCCTCCGCGATGCTTTCAATACGCCTGAGAGTTGACGGCGCGTACCCCAGCGAGAGCCTGTAAGACTCTCCGTCCACTCGGGAGCATCTAATGCTAGGGGGTAGTTGATCTTAAATTTGTCTAGAAGGGCTGGACTTGCTCCGGCCTGCCTCAAGTCGAAAAATATGAAACGTATCGCGCTCTGATGACACCTGCGGCGAAGATTTTTCTCCGCGGGCCACTCTCTGCGTGTGACGGTGCGACTATCATAACTCTTACCGCGATATCGGCGAGGGTTGGTCGCCTGACGCTCCTTCGGTATCCGCCAATGACACAAATCAGGTGCCGCGGTACAATGAGAAATTACACAGTTCTGGGAATCGAAACTGATTGTATTTACATTATCTCTCAATCCATCTACGGCAAGGAAACTCTGGATGACTTCGGAGTACTCAGCAAAGTTTTAGGAGAGTCCAAGTTGACGCCCATCTCTGCCATGTACGGCTTCAAGGGCAACATGAACCTCAATAACATTTCAGAAAATTGATCCTGGACAGCGGGTGAGCTCAGAGGTAGATGTGCGGTCATCATTTCGAGGCAATATTCCCCTTCGGAGACGTCTTGCCACAGACCCTGAAAGGAACTTTCAATAAAAAGGAGGCTATAACCGGTCTCTGATCCGATGTCCGATCCCCGCTACTCTACTCGATTTCCGTCCTTCTCGGACGCTCATTGTCTCATTGTAATGCACGGCAGGGCTTCTCCGTCGCGTGACCTACCTGCAACAAGTTGTAGCACGTGTCTCGCATCTCACCATACGCTGGTCGTAGGTTCGTTGCTCCGTCAGAGACCACAATTGACTCAAGAGGTTTCAAATCGTACTCTAGCTGAACCAACGCGGAGCGGATATTGTGGAAAACCGATCGCATATCTAAGTTTGAGCAGAAAATCCAGAATTTAGCAAAAAGTCCATCAAACATATGTCTCCGAACCCGTCCGCGACGTTGGAGTCGAATACGATCCCTAGAATCTCTCCTCCTCTATCCGCTGGAAGGCTCATCTTTGGAAAGTATTCTCGGTCGGAAACGGATTCTCGAAAATTTGATTCGCGAACCTTGAATCGTGGTAGACGCTGTTTTTAAATCATCTTGTCGAGCCGTCTCGAGCTTCATCTCCAAATTGATTAGCAAGCTGTCTTCGAATTCATTTTCTCCGAATAGGAGGTCTGCGTTCTCTCTCGTCACCTGAAGTATATGAGATAGAAAGCCTCCATATGAGGCAGGCTCCCAGGCTTTACTTTACCCCCAAACCCGGAGGAGAAGAAAAGCCTCATTCGTGGCAGTCGGTTCGATTCGTTTACCTGAGCATACATTTCCTCGTACTCGCTCAGACTTCTCCAAAGCGGTTTCAATTGGTCTCTGAGAAGTTGCCATCGGCCATGTTCGCGATGAGCACATTGTATGAATTTACGGAAAGCAATATCTGCCGGCGATAACTCCATGATCCCCTGATCTGGGAGGATACGTCTGACCGAGGCTGTGAAGTTCAAACACTGACACCGAGAATGTTTGCAACAAGATATAATGAGCTCACGTCGAGGTGCACCGGAGGAATCTTGCAACTCAAAATCTCTCGGCGAACAGACTGGAGTCAAAGAAAATTTCGGAAAACGGCAGAAGAACTGCCTCAGCCCCTGTCGGAAGCTCAATCAGAAGAGGCCTACTTCACGCGGGTTGGAAGCTGAGTTCTCTGCTCACCGCATGCCGTGCCGGGGTTTCTGTCAAACATCTGTGGGATCCTTCCCCTCTAATCCGACGGAAGAAATCTGGATGAGTTTCTTGACGGTTCATGCACCCGTCTCGCGACGCCTCCGGATGAATTTTCAAATCTAGCGATTGTCAGGAAGAACTTTTTGTTATGTGCACGCCCATCGAACGTGCCAGAAATATGATATGACAGTTTGAGCTCGTGAGCTCCACTCGCGCGAGAGCATCCGGGCTCCCCACGTTCCGAGCATTAGTACAAGTGTGATGGTGATGATGGTCTGGAGTAGATCTGACATAGAGTGATTTTGTTTCGGAGTTCAACTATACGGGTTTCTGTTTGCACAGGAAAGTTTCCTCAGGGTTTCCACAACCAAACGAATCATACTGTGAGTGTTATTAGCATGCTCACCAAGAAGGAATTCTTCAGCACCATATGGGAAAAGTCAGGCAACAAACCGGATTGGTCATTCTGAAACGGAAACTCCCCCTCCACCTCGATCCAGTCTCGCTCGCCCGGTCGCTCCGGGGAGTAGTCTGGATCTCTGGAGCTGGGGCGCAGAACCGGGAGCTAGGAGTCGATCGATTGAGATGATTGCCATTCAGATTGAACGAGAGTTCCTTCTGCCCCCTCCCCTCCCTGAAAGTCTCATTCTTCCAACCCTCAGAAAATGGATCTGACCGACTACATAAAAGTCCCGAAGGTCGAGAAAGTATTCCTCTATGAGAATCACCAACCCCGTCTCGAGGGCACCCTCGTGATGTCTTCGTACCATTTTATTTTCTCTGAAAAGCCGAAACAGCTCAACGACAATCAGACCGGTTCGCCAATCCACCAACAGCCGGAGAACGAGATTGTGGTGAGTAAGTCAGGACGTTCTATAGCGGGAGTCCGCTGAGAGCCTCGAGGCACCGAGTATTTCGTGACGGGCTGCTCTGAGCTCGATGTAATTTGAATCAATGATTTTCCCTCTCAGATTCTCCACAGAATGGTCGACATAGTCGAACGCCGTCCCAACTCGACAATGCTTTACCTCAAATGCAAAGATTTGCGTTGCTTGAAGCTTGACATACCTGGCTTGGACAATTGTTCGGCAATCGCCGATTCGTTGAACGCCCTGAAGAAAGTGTCCGCCGAACCTGTCCGGAATAGCTACCCTTTCTGTTTCCGTCCCGCCTATAAGAACCATCCTCGCATTCCCATGAAAGATTTACCGTCCATGCCGGCTCGCGGGAAGTGGCGGATTTCCGAAGTGAACAAAACTTTCGGTGTATGCTCATCTTACCCGGAGAGAGCGATTGTCCCGAAAGACGCATCTGATCAGGATCTCAGAGGTTCGTCTCGAGCTCCACGGCGGGGATCGTCTGGAATATAATTCTCGGAATATTTTGTGAGAGCGAAGAATTCACATGTTCCCCATGTATTCATTAGCTCTTGATGAGTTCTCGGTGGAAACTGAAAAAATCCTCAGAGACATCGTGAACACCGGCTCCGATCTATTTCCAGAATCTGCCTTGTTCCGTGAAGGAGGTCGCTTCCCCGTCCTGTGTCATAGCTCGACCGTCACCGGCGCCGTTCTTCTGAGGAGCGGTCAGCCTCTGGTCGGACCTACGGGTCGAAGATGTAGAGCCGATGAGAATTTGCTGAGCAACGTCATCTGTGGCGATAAAAAAGTTCGTGATATTTGAATGCGCTGCCTATAGAATTCTGAGAATCAGAGTGGTCTGAATAGAATAGCTCGAGTTCATTCCAGGGACTCATTATGGATTTGCGAAGCGTGAAGCAATCAGAGCTCGCTAGAGCTAAGGGAGGCGGTATCGAGCCCGAAACTCATTATACACTCTGGAAGAAAATCAACAAACCTATTGACTTCAGCAATGATTCGTACTCCAAGTTCATAGAAGGTGATAAGGAGCGATCGCTATGTGATCAGTCTGAAAGAGGAAGAAAGTCTCATCTCATGGCACTCTCGTCTAAATTTTTTTCCGCTCCACAAACCGGTTACAGCCTGCTGTGATGAAGCCATTACCGTGGATAAATGGCTTTCCAAACTGGAGAGTTCAGGCTGGCTGACAGCTGTCAAAGACGTCATGCAGCACGCCTGCGTGACCGCTCAATGTCTACATGTCGACGGTACGAATCACTTCTAGGGAGCCTGCCGAGCTGCGCCTCGGGCTTCGTATCGCATCTTTATCTACGGATGATACGAATTATATTTGTGGGGATCATTGTAGGTTGAGAGCCTCCTTCGGAAATTTCAGGCGTGTCCGTACTTTTGCACGGCGCGACTGGGATGAATGCGACACTCGCGGTTTCATCTCTTACACAGGTCATTTTACAGCCGAAGTTGCGAACCATTCAAGGTAAAATTCGTTCGTTGGATCGAGCAGATCGTCGGTTAGCCGAATTTCGAATGAGAGTTATTTCGACGCTCCATCACGGTGGCCTTCCAGGTTTCGAGGAGCTCATAGAGCGGGAATGGTTGAGCGCGGGACATCCTTTTCGATCCAGATACGAATCGGGACCGTTTGCGCCCAAAAGCAAGGATAATCATCCGACTTTCATCCTCTTCTTGGATTGCGTGTACCAGGTGGGCGAATGTGCATAGTGATCGGGGCAGATAAGCTCCTATCGAACGATCAGAACAAGTGACCGAATCTCCGTGGGAATGGCATGTGAATGATGTCGCGGAATATGACACAAATCAAGTTCTCTCTTTTCCTCAGCTTATGCATCAATTCCCATGGTGCTTCGAATTCAATCAAGAGTTTCTCCTCATCCTGATCTCGAACATCTACGCCTCGAATTGCGGAACCTTCCTCTGTAATTCCTCGAAGTGAGTCGCTTCTTGAGTTTAGTAATTCGTATTCTGCCATGAACAAGCATCACAGGACGATCGGCCGGCTCCGATGCATCTCAGTTCCCCCCGTCAGATGCGGGTCAGCTAGCGATTGATTGAATACTTTGTTGAATTGACAGGGAACGAGCTCACCATCGGGTTTTGGAAGACACAGTCTCCTTATGGATATATATCGAGAACGAGTACACAGATTCTATTTTGAATCCCTTGTATGATCCTCTCGATGACGTGATCTGGCCTTCGGTGGCCCCTCAGAGCATTCAGATGTGGAATTCCTTCTACCTTAAGTGAGTGTATTTGGAAAGTTCGGTATCCGGTAATCCCTTCCCTCTTCCGCTTCGCCATCGTCTACTCCCCAAGATTCGCTGCCTGCTCATGATTCCTCATCTCGTTCAGGCGAACCTACGATAGTTCCGAGGAGAGGAAATCCGAAGAGACAATCCGGAAGATTGTACAAGAGGATCTCGAGGCGACGGAAAACGTCAAGAGGCTGCGAACGTAAGACGACTGGGCTTCGACGATTATGGCTCTCCCAATCGGTACCCTGCGAAGTACTTACCTATCCACCAGCACGCATGCATGTGTGATAACGAAAAGTTCTGTGATTTCACAGGGAATTGAGCAGATTGCTGAAGCTGAAAAAGTCACGAGACGTATCCATTTGACGCGAGGCTCTGAATCGTCCTTCATTTTTCCGGTGAACCCAGGATCTCCGATGCGACATCCCACGACGACCCGATTGTCTCGGAGGAAATCCCAGCCAGCCACCCGCCCGCCCTGTATAAAGGAGTCTGAACCTCTGACTTGAAGTCTTTGTACAGAATTCAGAAATCTCGAACATCTGGCTCAAATGGAGCTTTGCCCCTGAACGCCAACCCCGCCCCGTTTGCGTCTCATCTGCATAGCATTCCGTCGCGGAACAGCTTCTAGGGCTTCGCCCTAGGCACGATCTGCCTTTACATTGATAGTCTGACTGATTGCTGCGGACAATCAGAACGGCATAGGACTCACGCCAGTGATAATCTCTGAGATTTTATTGCTAATATATAAACTCGCTGATTTGATGAAACACCTCTCGATTTACTGGAATCTCTGTTTAATTGGTTCGATGAATAGTTTACAAATTTACATTCTGCCTCAAATATTACAAACTGTCAGCTTCACATTGCTTTGTACCGTTAAGGGATGAGACGCAATCACGAATTCACATCTGCAACCGCCCGGAAACACCGGAACTTAAAGAAGCCCGCCGTACACCGGCAGGCCATGAGCGTTCACGATAAAATCAACCGAGTCCATACTCCCGTATCGGTCGTCAAGTTGTCCGGTCATCGTAGAAATTGAAAGAAATCAAAATGAGGGGGTTTAGCTGGGATAGCTTGCAGCCATCAAGGCTGAGAGAACGAAAGAATCGAGAAAAAAAAACGAAATTTCGAATCCGAGATATCCTAAAGAGAGCTGCTCTCGCAGCGGTCTCATTCTCTCTCTGAATAAATAATAATCGATCACGAATTGAATTACTCGAGCGCCCAGATACGATTAGCAAGGATTTTTCTCCCACTAAGGCTGTTGTAGGCCTTGGGGCTGCTGTTGTTGCTGAACGACCGGCTGTGCCGGCGGCTGGCCGTCCGCGCCCTGGGACGGCGGCCGCGAGGGCTGCGTTTTGGGCTTGGGAACTTTCTGCAAAATCTGGGGAATTTCTTTCTTCTCGTCGAAATTCTTGCACAGCTCATAAAGGTTCAGGATTATTCGAGTGATTTCAAGAATCTTTTCGAAGTCTACGTTGAGTTCCGCGAACCAGGTCTTATAGTCCTTCTGCAATATGACGCACGCGATGTGGAGGCAGGCGATGGCAATCTGATGCGGCGGATACATCAGAGCAACATCCGTTCTCAAACTGTCGTTGGCAACCTATACGAGAATGGATTTGGGTAGTTTGGATCAGGTATTCTCAAGATAAGGGCTCCGTCCCTGAGAGCAAGTCCTTTCTCGCCTTTTCATAGAGATTGAAGAGCGCATTCCACGTACCTTCCATGCCGTCGAGAGGAGATCATTTTCCTGACCTATGTCCGCAACGTATTGCACTAGTGGGCGGTAAGCGTGATAGAGGACGAGGCAACAATCCATGACTTCTAGGAGATAAAATTCACATTCCAACACATGGTTTATTCTGAAAATCCGTAGAAGATGAGTTAGCTCGACACCTCGAATATCGGTTTCCTGGATATATGTAAGTCCAGTGCTCATTATATGCGGAGCTCTACCTGTAGGGGAACTCCGCAGTGTAGACGTGAGAGTATTTGTTTTTGACAACGGCTTGGCAAGTTGAGATCAGTCTTGAGTTAGATATAACACCGAATTCTTCCACCTGGAAAAAGCAGGCGTCTTCGAGGCGGCTCGGCGCTCCCTACTATGTCGAGATCTCCGGTATAAATATATAGTTCCGATGCCCGTCGAGGGATTCATCAGGAGGCATAAACCTGTGATCATCATAAGAGACTCACCTTCGAGGCGAGAAAGATGCAGGTAGGAGCGAGGAGCAAGGGATCGACGCATTTGAAGGAATTCCGCACATAGAACCTCTTGAAATAGACGGTCGCTGTGGCGATCACCTGCTGTTTCACTTTCAGCTGCTCACCCAAAGACTGCAAAAGGAATGAACCCCCTATTAATGAGCTTTTCTCTGATATTCGACGACTTGTCCCGGTTCAGATTTTCGCCTGCTCAATCAACGATTACAGATCTCGAGAGTTAGCGACGGATTGACTTTGCCGTCTGAATGAGAGTCATCCAATGCCACAGGTAATTCGCAGCTCATCTACCGAGGGAACCTCGAAGCTCGCCGCAGGTATGGCGGCAAAAAAAAGCTTCCTCCGACCTACCTGAATGAAATTCGCGAAGAAAATCATCACTTTGTGATACTCTTCTTCGCTCAGAATCTGGAGGTCTCCATGTCGCTCTCTGAGGAGGTCTTGCCGATCGAGTATCCACTGTTGAAACTGCGAAGAGCTCCAAAACTTCCCGGCCATTACGCTCCAATATGCGGGAACCGGTTTCTGCCAGAAAGACTATGTGTTGTGGAATTCAGGACACTTGCGGAGGGTTCTACTGTTACGAGCTGTTAGGCGTCTCCTTCTCTTAGGCGAACTCGCTGCCCTGATCTTCACTGTAATTCACGGCTGATACAAGGGGTTTCTTGCTGCTACCGCTGAGGACCCAGGACGGATGAATCCATAGAAGCATATGGTGGTGGCGGTGCTGGGAAAGGGTAGAAGCTCCCGTGACTCGCGGACGGGCTCAGACGCGGCTCCCTCGGGAGTGCGCACTTGAACTAGCGCTGCTCCATGGGCATTACTGCGATTTTCCCGAGCAATAAAGAGTCTGATTGAGTACAGCCCTGATAGCTGACGAAGAGATCTAATGACTGGACCAGAGTATCCCACGGAGCCGGCTCACAGGCGACTTCTTTGCAACATTCGAGGAAGAGCACTCTAAGTGATCTGAGCAGCCGCGATCTGCGTTCAAGTGTAGGCATGAATGCATCCGCGATCGAGAATTGTCGCTCTGCTCCTCGCGATATAGTCGTCATAATCAGCTGATGACATTGAACTCAATCTGCGATTATGAGCGCGGATGTCACGGTGGAATTGTTTTTACTTAGTGTTTTAAAAGCAACAGGATGCTCCGGAGATATTTCGTGGTCAGTAGGGTCCTATCTGAACGTATCCTCGTTAGCCCAAACCTATGCCCACATTGAGCTCGATCTGAATCAGCTGTGCAGAGAGGAGAGGAATTCCAGGGTTGATCAATGAGAACATTACTCTTCATCAGTCGTCGAGAGAAGTTCCAATTCGTGAACTCTACGGGAATACCAGCGAGCCTTTCACGGCTCACAGAAGAAATTTAATTCCAGGACGGGTCCTCCGTCTCGTTCGGCATCCGACGTCTCAGCACGGATATTTTTTCGCCGGCGAATCTTCAGAGAACTCTACGTGAACTGAATGAGCCTAAGATTGCGGAGAAAGCTTTCGGAACCTTCACTGCCGATGGGAAAGCTCGACAGAGCGCGGTTCTCATACCGCTGTGTTTACACAAGGTGAGAGGGGGGCGCAATCCGATCTCTCGAATAGTTCTCCGGTGCCTGAAGCTCCGTTCGTGATCGATACGAGAATCACTGCCGGTTTCGAACTGATTGTCGAGTACCATTTCCAACTGGCATTCTTCTCTCCGCAGAAGCAACCGTCAATACTTTTCAATTTGAGGTCGAATAAATTGACTCGGCACAAGGGTTATCCGTGTTTCCCGGGCGGCGTTGCAGAGGAAGCCGATCGAGACAGCACGCACACGGCCCTGAGGGAGACCGAGGAGGAGCTCGGAATCAAATCCGGCGATGTCGAGGTCAGTCGAATTTCGTCATCAAATTAATAATGGCCCGCATGGTGCTGAGCTCAGCTGATGGATGAAGTTTCTCTTATAGGTCATCGGAGCGATGCCGAGGTTCAAACTTCCGAGGGACAAGATGGAGATAACCGCTATCATCGCTAATATCGGCGATATCGACTCCCATAAACTCGACATAAACTATGACGAAGTTAGTATTTACGCCCACTTCCTCGACCTCAAGTCCCTACGTTCTGCTTATTATCCGTGAGAAAGGTTTATTTGATGTATCCGCGGAGCGCACCTCTCGAGATGGAAAGTTCTCAGAGCGTAGATATATTTCCGGGAGTACGGCGGAATGCTCCGGGAAAACCAAGAAAGGTGCGTTGTGTGAGCCGGGAAAACGCAGCCAATAGTGGTCGCTTGATCTATCGCGGTCTTCGGTCCTGGTATTTCGGGATCAGGTCCAATTCTCCGAGATCAATCCCCACGCATTCACGAATCCCCCGGAGACCATCGATCTCGGGAAAGATGGCACCAGTGAAAAATTCGCGGATCATGCCCCTCGAGATCTAGACATGTCCGCGTCTGAGGTGATTGACCTGCTGTGCCGAAGAAAGAGGATTTTCTTGCAGGTCAGCGTCGTTTTTAGTAGAACCGTCGAGGAACTCTGTGATCCGAAGAATATCGGCGAAACATCGTTTCGTGGAGCCCACAAGGACGTCATATACTCATCGCCCGTATTTATAGCAGGTGAGACTGCGACCGGGGACGTCTGAGCCAATCACCATGCCACAGAACAAGATGGCGCAGAGAAACGAGGAATAGAAACATATGCTCCTCCATTTCTAGGGGATTACAAAATCTGGGGAGTGACAGGAATGCTGCTCCACCTGTTCCTGGGACGCCTCGTACCTGAATTCTACCGGAAGCCTGCACGCCCCCTCAAGTTCCGAAGATTTTATGAGTCCGGAGCCGCAGTCGCATAGATTCTAATAACTAAAAATATGTGGAATAAAGAATAAAGGTTGTTTGGTTTTTTTTGTGTCGATTTGCGAGCATTCGATTCGGAGCGAGGAGTTTAGCGCGATTCCAGCAAGCCGCTCAGCGCTGGAGAGCAGTTTTGAATCTGAGACCTCATCACGAGACAGATTACTGCAGTTCCACCGTACCATATGCATAATCCCTACAATACTCCCGATCGAAATGAGGAGATAAAGTCTTTGTCGGATCGGAGTTCCCATCGGGGATCGAGTTGACGAACTCAATCGACGGGCCAGGCCATGGGACGAACGTACATATGTACATTGACAGGTCTCGCGACCTCTATTCCCTCAGTCGTTAAGAGTGATCTGAATGGAGACTAGAAAATTGGACGGGAGTACATAGGCGGAACCCGTCGTTATATGTGATCGTCCGGTGCTGCGGAATGATGGTCGATGTTTTGATCGAGGCCAGCGTCCATCGTCAGCAGCTCCGCGGACGATTCAAGACCAGAAATGTTAGAAACTGGAAACCCCGGCTACAGGTGGCGAATAAATCCGATGTATATCATCATCCCGCTATATCCGACGTATATCACCTTGATTCTCTCCGAGGACCGGCAGGTGGTCGAGATTGTCGGGCAACATTTGGTTCCCCAATCCAAACGCGGATCCCCGGGGCAGAGCTGAGTCGTCGCGCCCGGAAAATATATCCCAAGGCCCAACAGCTATCGGAAGACTCTCTGTCATAGCTTCCACGGCTCCGAGTGATACTTTTTGAAACCGAAGGACCCCGGCGTGATATATCGAGAGTAATTTCGGTTCATGTGAACGGATTCACTCGCGTACAGCTCTCCTTCCTGACCGATCCCCCTTATTCTAGGTCAGCTACGATGGAAGTACAGTAGTTTAACACAGACATGCGGTGAATCTACGCTATGTAAAATTAATCTGGGCCCCGACGAAGTTAAGCTCGTTAAAATTTCACGCTCCGTCGGACCATCAGATGTTTGTTTGTCTTGATGAGACCTTTATAGGGCACTTCTTCATTCAACCGAATAAACCTTCGTCCCGATCGCAAGATCTGAGAGACTGCGCGATTTTCTAGAGCAGCGTTCACAGCTTCAGGAGTCCCGATGGCTACTTTCCCGGTTCGACAGCGTACCTACGGCGGGCCTCAGAGATCAATTGATAGCCCGATTCCGCAAATAGAGAAGCACAGCGCGTGAGACTCTGACTCAGTGCGGTAGTTTGAGCCTTTATGGTCAGGCGATGGAACTCGCGCAGATTTCTTCCATTCCACGATTCTGATGCCCATGTCCGATAGTCGGCTGTTCCAGCCGATTCCGACCTGATTGTCGCCCGGGATAGAATTCGCGGGCCGCGTAGAAGGACGCCGTGGGCCGGGCATTGTGAGAGCCTTCTCCTGGAGATCGGTTCTGTTTCTTTTCTCACCTTGGCCGACCGCCTCATTTTTCAACCCCAGGAGCACTGAGTCTCGAAACACGAAGCTCTCTCCTCTTTTCTTGTCTGAGAACATTTCGAGGCATGACATCATCTACGTTTTGTCGAGCTGACGATACCTAGCCTCTGGATCGTTTTATTCAAAGCGCACCGATATCTTGATCGTGTATGGCCGCCGGTCACCGTGCGAGGGTCCTGAGCGCTGATTCTGGTTCACTTGAACAGAAAACGGTGACGGCGAGTGGCGTCACCGGTGAATCCCGGGCGTCATATGACGCTGGGAGAGGGAGGAACTCTTGTGTTCCATTCCAACATATATAAACGCATTGCTTCTACTTCCCCATCGCAACACCGCCGAGTCCATCTCTTGAAACAACCTCCCGAGTCAACATGAAAGCTTTCGCTGCCTTCGCCTTCCTCGCCGCAGTGGTCGCCATGACTTCTGCAGCGCCTGCCGCAGCGGTCGACAGCAAATCCCTCGCAGCTCCCACCGTCCCACTCACCGCAGCCGCGCACCAGGAATCTTCATTTGACAAAGGTGGTCAGCAAGCCAGCTCGTCCTCTGGCCAAGGAGGCTTCGGATACGACCACGGGGCACAAGCTGCCAAAACGTTCGGCAACAGAGAGTCGAGCGGCTCTAAGGAAAATTTTGCGTTCTCCTCAAACAAAGCCTTCAACCAAGGCTCCGGGCAGTTTTCGCATTCCGGCGGTTTCAACCACGGGGATCATCTCGCTAGTTTCGCTAATCAGCAGCAAAGCCTCTCAGCTTTTCCGATCCCCACCGTTCCCCTGGGGGCCCCCGCTTTCCCAGGAGTCCCCACCGGACTCCCAGGGGTTCCCGTCGGAGCGCCGAGCACAGCATTGAGCTCCGCTCAGATCGCTGGCGGCGTCTCTGGGGTTTCCGGAAGTGTAACTGGTGTTCCGATTAGTGGCATCCACTCGGGTCGAGGTTTTCCCCTCGGTGTCCCCAGCGTGGGTTACTCCAACGCTGGACTTCACGTCAATGGCGGTGTCGTTCCGGGATCCGTCGGCGTCGAAATCTTTCCAGTGGGGGCTTCAAGCTCTGCTGGATCCCTCCAAAAAGGGTCCGCTAGCTCTGGTTTCGCTCAAGGTCAAGGGTCGTGGAACTACAACCGAGGACAGTCATCAGTGAATTCATCTGGGAACAAGGAAACATTTTCGAACAAAGAGTCGTTCGGCCAGGAGTCTTCCGCTTCACACGCAGCGGGAGCAGGTCAAAACTCACAAGCTCAAAGCTCTCAAAGCGCTCAGCACGACAAAGGGCACCAAAGCGCTTCGAACACTCAAGTCGTTGGATAGGGAGCCCCTCGACTTCGTACAAAACTGAGATGGTCTGTGATATAGCTTAACATGAGCCGTTCCGTTCTCACATGAATAAATTGTTTGGTCGGTCGGTCAGAGCATTGATTTTTCGTAACTGCTCAGAGCTAAGCTGAGACCTCATCTAGGACGCACCGAGCTGGAGAAACGCTCCGGACGATTGGGATACGGGTGTCTAGCAGGAGCTCATCAGGGAACCAAACGAGGAATTTTCGAAACGTCATTTATTTTAGAAGCTCTGGATTATCTCGGTCCTATCCGTACAGATTGTCATTGAAACTCACTCAGAACCAAAATTAGGTTTTTCGTCCAGATTCGAATTCACAATTCTGCATGATAGCGAGCGGATTGTGTCTCTCAAGGATCCTCAGTCGCAGACCTTCCGACTTCAGATTCCTCCAAGAACGTCATGCCGACGTTCTCGAACTCTGTGCCGATTGTACTCGAACGAGTCCCTATTTGATGAGATAAAAAAAACAATGCGATCCCTTCCGGTTCTAACTCGAACGGAGATGGTCGATTGACTTTCTTTCGACGATAATAACAACTAGACTCGGAGTCGAGGGAGTCCTTCCACTTCTTGCCGTCGACTTTCGGGAGATGAGGAGAACAACAGCCCAAAGAAAGTTCCCAGAAAAGATGTGAGATACAAGTTTGTCTCAAATCGAGTTTGTGCGTGTCATGGGAGTTTAAAATGAGTAAAACAACCAAGAAATGGGAACTCGCACACCCTAAGTTCCTCTGCCACCGTAGAAGAGCGAGACCAAATAATCTTCAGGCGGCGTAAGGTTCTCAGGTCCCTTGAAGATGCTCCAGGGAACGTGGGCTGGAATTGGTCGAGGGTTCTGCTCCACGATTCGACACGGGTCCGTGACGAGCAAACTCGCGGGCGCGAGGCCCTCATCGAATCGTACGGCACCGTCATTTGCGCCCGTTGAGAGCGGGCTCGGCCGTTCCAGGGCACGTGGCGGAGGATGCACGACGGTCGGGTCACCACGCGCGATGCTCCGGCTAGCGTGATTGGAAGTGAGAGCACGACGAAGGAGTCGAATGATCACGCGTGGGAGGCCTTCGATTTCTCGGATATCTTCCTGAGAGACACCTTTCTTCTTCAAAATGAAACGGACCGTGTCAAGCGAGTATTCGTGAATTGTGTCATCGAGCATCCGCAGTCGCCTTACGAAAAGCGGCGAGTTGAAAGTTCCGGGATTGCCATCGTCCGTCCCATTGAATTCTCGTAGTCTCGGCTCCGACTCGTGGATGTAAGAACAGCGACTGCCGAACATGCATAGCGCCGGTGCTCCGTGGTAGTCGCTGCCCCAAGAGAACCGAAACGTGAGACGACGATGAAATCGATGCCTCAGCCATGGATGAGTCCAAATGATTAAGCCTCCGAATCAGAAGAGAGTTCATCCCCTCTTTCTTGATCTTACTTGCAAAGTTGGGTTTTGTGTTTCGGATGTCTGATCACCGTCTTCAGCTCCGACTTGTCGTGGGCGTACCGGCATCCACTTCCGTAAGAGCAGAAGCCTTTCTCATCGAGATTTCGGCACATTTCAGACTTTATCCTGTGGAGCGGAGAAAGCTTCGTTGGCTCGTTTCACACGGATTTCGCTGAAATGGAGCCCTCCTTCGGGCGCGGATCGCGGAACGGGCTCTAGCCCAGAATAAGCTATTCGCGCTGTACGTGGCGAAGCGCGGAAACTCTGAATAATTACCCTGCTGACTAGCACTCACTTCTCTTCATTGGACAGCGGCGGTCTCGTCTTGTGTCGATACCAGGGTCCATCCTAGAAAGAAAGTAATGTTCTCCCCGTTCCGGTGATCGTCGAACGATCTCGCGGAATTCATACTCGGATCTGTTATCTTCAGCGAGTTCGACTGGAAATCCGCCGCGAGTTCGAGTCGTGTTTTCTCAATGATTCTTAGGGGTACTCACGAGATTCGTGGATTTTTGACCGTGCGCCTTGAACTGGGGTCTCGAGCTGCTGCTCAGGTTTCGTGGTGAATTCGAATGTGTCTGGCCACGACCTCGCGCATCTCTGCGTTGGTGTGCGAGCTGCTTGAAGCGGGACGAAAACGCAAACTCATCAGCTGATGTTGATTATGGCTCGCGGAATCTCCGTGATGCTTCAAATTTTTGGTACAATCCGCGCCACGAGAGGGTGTTTGACGTAGTCATGATTTTCCGAAAAAGGTTTGTGCTCTAACAACTCTGTTCTCACCTCCGTCTGTGGAGTATCTATGGGGCACATCGTTCAGTCGCCTCGTCTTCGAGAAAACTCTGCCTTCTGGATGGAGCTTCGGCACTCGACCTCGATCGGAAAACACGACATACACGTTGGAGCTTCGCGCGTGTTCGTGTACACGTTTACGTTTGAGCTCATGTCGGACATCTATTTGTTGCACTCTCGGCGTCCCGTCACCGCCATGAGGTTTCAGCAAGAGCGGAGACTCTCATGGAAACTCCGGGTCTCACCCTGATTTCAATCAGACCCTGAGGCGCCCAAACTGGAATGGAGATCTCGGCGTGTCTGGATTCGGAGGGACTCGCTGTGGATTGACTTGCCCAAGATCGCCGAATTGCGTTCTTCGACTCACTTGAGGAGAAAGACATAAATACGTCATATATCAAGACCCATGGACGACCCCGATAACTTTTCGTTTAGGCTCGCAAAGCTCTCCTCCGAACCCAATTCTGACAAAGCTTTCCCGTGTCTCTCCGCTCTGAGGAGGATGTCTCCGACCATCACGAGCTTAGTCGCGAACCATCGCACCGCAACGGTATGTTCTCGGGAATGGGAGCCTGGATATTGGTCGCGGAAGATTCCGTGAGACTCACGAAAGGGCCCGGATTCCTCCACCAGGAATCTGTTGCAACTGAAAGAGAGGTCTCGCTGGTGGTGCATGAATGCAGGTGCAGGTGCTGCAGTGTATGAATATTCGAAAATATTCATAGGCTCAATGAATCGAATGCTGGTGAAGTTGTCTAGGGTCTAGGAGATCTCCAAGAATAAGTAATTTCCCTTGAACCTTCGACGATTCGGACAGGATTCATCACCGTTCGACGCAGGCTCCCACGACTGGTCGGAGAACCTGCAGAATTTAATCTCGCCGTCGAATATTGCAGGTTCCACCAATGTGCGTATGTGACCGAAGGGGTTTGTTTATTAAGCGTCCATTCACTCGGAGTTGTCTGAACGGGGTATCTGACGTGGACAAGGCTAGCAATCAGTTTATCTTGCGAGAGCTGCCCAAGCCACGTGAGCTCCTCCCTTATTGGGCTAGTTTAATCTCGAGAGGCAAGCTTCGACCAAGAGGGGTAACGAACAAATGAGGCTAATGCCTAGGAAGACGCTCCCTCGAACTGATCAAGAAGGAAGGGGCCGGAAAGTTCGAGAGTTCCCCTAGAATCGGGGTCCGAGAAGCCCAAGGAAAATTCCCCACGCCGGTCGAGCTGGTGCTCTTTGAATAACCTCTCGAATAAGTTTGCTGTGATCACGGATTCCATGAAATCAGTGACCGTAGATCACGATGTTCATGTCGTCAGTCCGGAGTCGGGAAGCCGATTAAGTTGGTCAGATGACACCGTGACTTGAAGGATCACTCTCTCATGGATTTATACAATGAAACTTTCGGACACATGACGGACGAGTTCGGAGTCGTCCGTCCTAAGGCGAAGCCCCGAGGCGACAACACGAGCTCGACGTTTGGGTTTTCCGCACCGATGGTGGCAAAGTCCGCGAATCGAATGCATGGGACTACCCGTCGCAGGACGCACTTCACGTGTGCACATGGATTCACGGGCCGGGATCTCGCTGTTATCACAGTAAAGTGGGACTTGTCCTCGATGTCTGTTGCTTCGGGCTTGAAACCTCCTTGCATGGGTTCTTCTTGCAAGTATTCGACGGCTCTAATTCATACATTGAGCGCTCACGATTGGTGAATCTGATGGATCTGATCGTCTGGAAGAGAGACGCCTCTCTACGCGATAAGAGACATGAGCCGTTTGCTTTGATCATTTGATTTGGGTTGAATCCCAATCCCTTCTTTATGTACTGAAGAAAAATCCTGAAAGGAATATAATCGAGTCGAAGCCTCATGCAATCGATCCCTGACGTTATAGGATGACAGGACCAGACGAGAAGACAGGAGGGAATCCTAGGACAAAGAGTTGATACATCGGACGAGTCCACGCATTCTGACACGGCGATCTCTCTGCCAAGATTGAGACGTCCCACATGAATGAGGATTCGTCAGATATTTCGAGCTTCTTTCCGGGACGACTTCGAAAACGTCCCCAGAAGGCTGTCTTCCCAGCATGCCCATGATATGAGGAAAAGCTATACAGATCGCAAATCATCGTTCAATGCTCGCCCTCGAGCCTGCTTCGCTCCACTTATGCGATACAGTAAAAGCTCGTTATAACGACCCCCATTACAACGAATTTCTCGGTACAACGAACAAGGAATTTCTCCTCCCTTGGCCAGCTCGCCATAGGGATAGTGTTGAGGGGCCTTCGTTACAGCGAAAACTCGGTGCAACGAACCAGTTCCGTCGGTCCCTTCGTGTTCGTAGTAACGGGCTTTTACTGTAGCTTCAAATCGAGAAATCAAAAGCCGCCGTCCTACGCAATGGGAATCTGTATACAGATTGGATGCAAAGGATCAGGCGCGTGGAGCGGGAACCCCTGCCCGAGACTCGGAGGAGACGAGATTCTCCGAGCCTCGCGGGAATCTGACACTCGTTTGCAGTGATCAGCAGCATCCTCGATTCTTGGTAAGTCATTCTTGGTCATTGAAGGAGGTCCGGAAGGCCATCAGAGGAAATTTCCTCTGCCAAAAGACTCCCGTCTTCGGACGAATTCGATGTAGAGGATTTCCCTTTCTGAGAGCTCTCGGAAGCGATGGCGTTTTCCGGGGAACGCACCAATGACAAGCCGAATCGATTGGGGGATAAGAGGATACCGCATAAAAAGAATACTCGCCGTCAGCTCCATCGACCACGCCGATGCATCAGCTACCCCATCCGAAACGACGAAATGAATCGCACGATGGCTCGGCCGAGCGCCCAATGTCTCCTCGACGTCACCGTTCCGAGGTAAACCTCGATGAGTTTCCGATGATTCAGGCGCGGTGCCCAATCTCTATCCAGAGCGGCTCCCATGGAATATATTCCTCTCTACATCAAGGTTGAGACTCCATTCCTCCCACCATCGTCAAAATTCGGTGTCTGATTTTGTCTCGTGTGCGGGAGGTAGAGGGTTTCCCCCCACCTCGAGACGAAAACACGGCGCCATATCGGCCGGAATCCCCAATATCCTCTTAACACAATGCCCAAGGTCCCTTCATGGGCTGAAAGCTCGAGGACCTCCCTGGAACACGTATGCATCCAGAAAGCGTGTCGTTCGAATTCAGTCCGTGACCTGGTTCCCACCCGACGGTTGATGATGCGGCCGTGCCGTCGAGCTCGTTGAAGCCTTTAGGACGTCATATGTTGGGCCCACGCGCGAAACTGATCGTGAAAACTTGCTGCTCGGAGTCATCGCTGCCCGGGCGAGTAAATCGCGTTAGCGCAGTTTCCACGCGTCCGTGTCTCTCTGTGGAGGGAAAGAATAATAATTCGCTCAAATGAAATTCGAACAGCCGCCAGGGTCTCTCTCTGTCCGCTGAGGTTTTCCGGCAGGTAGATTCGACGATCTCAGGACGCAATGAACAGATCATGAAAATCGTCTCGGAATTCGCCTCCAGGAAGACGCGACTCCTCTGCGGGAGTCCGGCCAGTATCATGGGGCGGCGGATGAGATCGCTAGGAGATCGCTATCAAATTCGCCATTGAGCGTCCGGGATGACCTTGGGAAATGACGGATTGTTCCTGGAGTCTTTTATGAATAAATGGTACGCTGGAGTTTCGCAAGAGTACGCATGGTTGGAGTCGTTGATCGGCACGACGCTCGGCTGAATCCGACCTGTGCTGTCTCCTGCGAGACCGGTCACTTGTCATTGCTATTAATCCGGGGTGGGAGCACGGAATAAGAACGACAACCTGTTTCAACCGGTACTTCCGCGCAGCAACTGCGGGTGGCTTCGAGATCTTGTAAAAAGATATGCTGCGATACTCATAGAATTTTGGTCAAGTGAGAGTCCTTGCTCGCTCGGTCCGTCCAGAGAACGAGATAAATTACTTGTTCTGAACTACTGAGTTTTCCAATTTATGCTTCAGAGGATGATTCATTCATGTAACTCGTCGGATCACGAATTTTCACTTGTAAAGAGGAAGCAGATGGAGAAAGGCAAAGGCTGATAAATGGTAGCGGGCTCGCGCCTGGAGAGCCCTGGCCCTGCCCTGTTTTGCTCCTCACCTGAATTGTGCGGTATCCGCTGCTGAGCCAGAGAATTCCCTTGTTGCAGGGTCGAAGGACAACTCGTGTTCGCCGGCGGGATAGCGGAATCGAATCCGCCCGACCACGGAAACAATCCGACCGAGTCCCTCGAGCGACTCGTTGTTGCCAGAACGATTCCCCGCAAAAGCCCCTCCTCGAATGACTAAATAGCCGTGTCCTATTCTAGCGGATAGAATGGAAGGGGGTCCGCCAACCGAAACGTTCCGGCCCGGTTAGGCTCGAGTGATGAATGCTCCCCGTCTAGGACAGCCCACCGCGATGCAATATGCGAAGAGGCCTCATGACTGACGAGTTCCAAAGTCGAGACCGGAAATCGCTCTCCTCGATCTCTTTCATACCTCTGCCCGACTTCGCGCAGAGTTGCACGCGAAGGCTTCCCGCCTCCAGAAGGATCATGCGCTTTGTTGGGTACAAGCACGGTCGTCGGAAGTCCGCGGTGTCCGGCGATTTCGAATCGAAACCCGCGCGGGACATGCGGCGCTCGGAAGTTGTGGGGGGAGAAGCCTCGCCAGGGAGCGAGTTCCCCCGGAATCCAATCGCAAGGTGCATTTCCTCGGAAGCCCGAGTGACTCCGCAAGCTCTGGTCGCCTTCCCAATGATGTTCCGAGGCCTTGCCTGAGAGGAATCCGCCACGTTGATGACTCGCCCGCGAGGGATCCTCGGAGCCGGTCGTTTTTCCATGAAACAGGGCCCTGTATCTTCCCGAAGGCTCTTCGAGTAGAAATGGGTCCTCCAAAACATCGCCGGGAGCTCCCCTGCTCCATTCATACTTTGGGATACCATATTCTCCGCCTCTCATTCGACGGCTCTAGCGTTAGCCCGCTTTCTCTCATTCAGACACCCACACTGTTTCCCTCAACGCGTGAGAATTTCCTCTTT